AGCAGGGCAGAGTAGAGGGGGAGGAGAACCTCCCTTGACCTGCTGGCTACGCTCTAATGCCCTCCAGAATACTGGTGGCCTTCCTTTTTAATGCTCCCTCATCATCTTTGTGACAAGCAGAGAAGGGTCCTTCAGCAGACAACAGAATTTTGTGTAGTCAGACCAGGTCACCCACTTCTCTGGTGGTGGAGGTTGAATGTTTCCAGTTGAGAATGTGGCTTTAGGTTTTCTAGATACTCTCACTTGTATCCTGTAACCTCTGAAGTTGGTAGCAAAACAATTTACAGATAAAACACATATTGACTGAGTTTAAGAGCTGTTGGCAGTTGGGATTCTGGCTTCCTTGGCTGCCAGGGGCCGGCAGACAGAACACGGGTGCTACAGCACCCACAAAAAAATGAGTGCCAGACAGTTTTCCCCCCGTAGCTGTGTTCTAGCAGGTCTGCCCAGCTCATCCACCCAAGCCTGCTTCCACTTGTCCTTCCCCTTGTTAAAACACAAATGACTTCTGCATCTTAATTGGGTTACTTAATTACAGAACACCTGATGTAGGGATTCGAACATAGACAAAGGTGTTCTCCACCTTCCCTTCGGTGATGATCCGATGACGAGTCAGAAGGGATGTCCTTGTGTCATGGCAGCCTGTTCAGTGCCATGTTCTGTGGTGCTGTGCTGAGGCTGCCTGGGGCAGGATGTCCTACTCATTGGATGATTTAGAGGCATTTGTCTGAGAAGGGATGTGATTTCCTAGGAAAGTGAGCTGACTTATCCCAGGAAGGACAAGATTTAAAACCAGGATTAGCACAAGTTAAGGATATAGCATGTTTTCATCAGTCCCAGGTTACACTTAGCAGAGGCAATGAATTGGGCAAAGGTAAACATGCTGTAAATGTAATGTACATTATTCATAGTAATTAGATTAAGCTGTAACACATTTTTATTAATCAGCTCACATTTTCAGTGTTGTCAAGAGATGTTTTTGGTGCAGATTGCATATTTTGTAACCTTGGAACTTGTCCCCTACTGAATGTGTGCTTGATATCTTGTGTCAAATGAGCATGTCTGTTGTTCTGTCACTCTTTACAGGAGTACTGGGAATCAAAGTAAAGATTATGTTGCCTTGGGACCCGAGTGGAAAGATTGGTCCCAAAAAGCCTCTTCCAGACCACGTCAGCATTGTGGAACCCAAAGAAGAGATCTTACCCACCACTCCCATTTCAGAGCAGAAAGGTGGCAAACCAGAACAGCCAGCCATGCCTCAGCCGGTTCCCACTGCCTGAGGGGTGAGTGTCTGTGAGCGCTGGGAGGTGACTTTGGTGAGGATCCATGTGGGAAATGTGTCATGTCACCAAAAAAAGCTGTCAGCTAGCTGGGATAGTGGGGAAAAAAAGCTGCTGCATTGTACCAGGGGGTTATGCATGGTTTAAGGCTGACTACACCCTTCAGTGAAGATGAGATGACGAGTCTGAAAGGAAAATGTCCTTGTCCAAGTGCCCTCTATCCTGTTGTGTTCTACAACATGGATTTTGGGGACCTTGGGTCACATTTGAGTGACTTTGAGGCATTTGTCTGAGAAGGGTTTGGTGTTTTGGATGTTTTCACATTGTACCACCTGCAGTTGACAGCACAGGGTATATATTATATAAAGGGTCCAGTTAGGATAGACTTAGAAGCCAGTAATGTTGAGCACAGTGTGGCTAGTTTCATAAGTAAAATAATCATAGAATCATAGTTTGGTTGGAAAAGACCATTACGATCATCTAGTCCAACCATAAATCCAGCATTGCCAAGTTCACCACTAAACCATGTCCCCAAGTACCACATCTACACATCCTTTAGATACCACCAGGGAAGGTGACTCCACCACTGCCCTGGGCAACCCCTTCCAATGCTTGACAACCCTTTCAGTGAAGAATTTTTTCCTCAGATACAACCTAAACCTCCCATGGTGCAACTTGAGATCGTTCCCTCTTGTCCTATCACTTGTTATTTGTGAGAAGAGACCAACACCCACCTCACCACACCTTCCTTTCACGGAGCTGTAGAGAGGAGGCTGTAAGATTTAAAGTCCTCTCTCTATGAATGAGTAGTTTCTAAGACAGAAATTGATAGCTTGAAGTTCACAGAATCAGAGAATGTCAGGGACTGGAA